TATCACATGTTGGTCCCTGAGTGGTCAGGTTGATGTATTTAAATGATGGGATGGCTCTTCTGTAGATTAGGATGACATGATAAACATTGTAGATAATGATTAGAGATTCTTGTGGTCTGAATGACTGGAATGGTCTGATGAACTAGATGTGATTGGTTGTGAATGCTAAGTCGGGGTGAGGACTCGTAGTTTGAGCTATTTTATAATTGTACATATTAATGTTTGTATATGTTTGCTAAATTATGTTACTTATTCATATCTCATATGATAGGAGTGTTATAAGGTAAGGTTTTTGCATGAGAACTTTAGGGAAGTAGTAAACTGATTACCAAAGCATGTGGTGGTCTTATATTTGGGAGAATTTCTATGTGGTAGAAGGGCTAGTCTATAATTTGATAGGAGGATGGAATGGCTTAGATGGTAGAGTCAGCAGTGGAAGGAGGTGGGTGACCTGAAATAGGGAATGAGTCCAAGATAATGCTACTTGTGGCTGGAGGGGGGAATAAGTCGATCAAGGTCCTCATGTTATATATGTTTACGTTATATGTTTCTTTGATTAATATTATATGGTGAATTTGGATCGGTCGATCATGCCTATCAATATGTGTTGTTTGTACTCATACTTCTCTTGCTATGCCACTTGGTGTAGTATAATTGCAGGATTTAGTAATGTTTCAATTTTCCTTTTTACATTGCACTTTCTTACACTACAAGAAATCTGCCTTATTGTGGCGGTAGAAGTCGCCACAAAAACTCCAAATGTTGCCACTAAAAGTTTATTGTGGCTACTTACTCTCCGTTGGTAGTAATTCCGTAACTAAAAGTTATTTGGGGCGACAAAAGGATGTCGCCACAAAAAACACTCATCTATGGAGACATAATACGTCACAATTTGTTAACAAATATGCCACAAAGATAAAATCGCAACACGACTATTTGTCAAGTCGCCACTAAAAACAAGCCCTTTAGTGGCGAGATTGTTGCCACAAAAACATATAAACTTTCTGTGGCAACCTTTGTCACTACTAAACATTAATATCAGTAGCGACTCCTACCGTTGCAAACAACAATTAACTATTAGTATCACCTTTCATCTCGCTGCTACACACTATTAATTAGCAGCGACTTTTTCTGCCACAAAATCAACTAATTATCAGTGGCAACTTTTATGTCAATGCAAAAAGTGATTTTTAGTAGTATCTAAAAATCACCACTAAAATTACTATAGCATTTGTGGCAACATTCATCTCATCACTGAAGAACAATATTTAATGTTTTGAATTAAATTCTCTAAAATCAATACATATATATAGCTATTAAAAACATCTATTTGTATTTCACAAAATTAATACAGAAGGCATTTTCGAGTTAAATATTACAAATACTCCAGTACTAGAAATTCAACAATACATTATAATATATATATATATATAATAACACGCTAGTAGTTCAGTTATCATTGTATCCATATACATATGGCCAAAAAGCAAAAACTTCCATTGCACGCCTTAAAACTACTTCTTGATCGTGCCCCATTGTTTAAGAACCTTGTCCCTGAAATTAGAAAAGCACACAATCACTTTCTAATTCCCACAATCAAATGCTAATAATAACAAGAGTAACATAAGACTTTAAAATCAACACCATCATAGTTTCAATACTTTATTTTTTTGTGTATGAAAATATATAATAAGATACTGGCAGTTGTTGTCATTCGAAAACCCACACCAAAATTTTTAATTGCAACACAACAAGCAAATCCTCTATTTAAATCAATAATCAGAACTATACATGATATGGACATTAAAATAACTAACACAGTAAGAGAATCTCATTTGTTCTCTTAAGTGTTACATCCATCACAAATCAAATTTCTAATTCTAGTGATGACTGAGAGATCCAGTAATAATAGTGTTATATTATAATAGTGACAGAAATCTAGTTACATTAGTTCATATTGTGTTAAAAAAGAGTAAACACACAAAAGGAAACAAGAATATGTCAAGAGGCTAAATTGATTCCAAGTTAGTCACTTAAGTAACAAGACACAATCTTTTCTAATATTAATAGCAGAGGCAGAACAAGAAACATTTACTCACATTACAAGACAACTTATTAAAAGCTTCATAATACTTTTTCATGCATACACGAGAGAGACTAGAAGACATAATACTTTTTCACAATTAAACAAATATTTATCTCAGACTTAATCTTTAAAAAGAAAACCAATCCACCCACAACTAAAATCCCTTGATAACTGAGGCATTTCATGCTAAAAACAAAGAACCTATATATAAGGGAAGTCAATAAATAGAGCTAACAACTTCCTAATATAAAAATCTTGAAAAAACAAACAAATGCACATACTATTTCTTGATATGTGGTAGAAAATGCCTTCACTGAGAGGCAAATAAGATCTTTAAATAACATTTGAGATTTTACGGCAAGAAGAACAAACAATGAAAGGAGAAGAATTGTTCAGGAGCAAGAGAAGTTACATGTTGCATTCTAGTCATGATAGCGGCCATTTGTTCTTGAACATCTTGTCCACTTCGCCTTTCATGTGTTCACGCTCCTCTTCCAAATTTTTTTGCAAATCTTCTTCCATATTTCTTTTTAAATCAGCAGTCATTTGCTCTTGTTCTTCTTGTAACTTTCTATCCATATCAGCTTGCATCTCTTGACGCATACTTTCCATCGTTGAAGACACACTAGCCTCTATGTCTGCCTGCTGTATTTGAGTCTTTTTAGGAGGTTTCTTTCCGTATCCATTCCCTCGAACATAGCCTGATCTCTCACCAAGAACTGAAGATAAGATATCATCCCTAGTCATGTGATGCTCGATCTCTTCAGATTGTTGTTCAACAACAAGATGTTGGAGCTGACCCTACAATAATATGCAACCATTTACACAAAAACATAACTTACATATTGGAAGTAACTTGTAGTAGGTCAAAAAGATAACAAGGCAATTATTTTAGGGAATTACATGAATCTGTTGTGATTGTGGATCCAACCATTCACGTTCTCTATTAGTATTTTTACGTGTGTGTTGAATCTCCCAAACTTTATCTGGTGTGTCTTTTTCTCCCGATTCAGGATTTCTCTATAATATAGTTCAATAAGAAAAAAAAATATGAGCAGATGTATATAGGTAGCAAAGAAGTATATGAAATAATTGAGGAACAAATATATTTTCACCGTAGATTCCTCTACTTCTGCAAATGATCTTGTACCACAAGAATGCTTAGTTATTTGTTCTTCTCTATTTTTTCTGTTTCTCTCACTGACAACCTGCACCAAGTCAGGAGATCAGAAAATATTTATCCTAATGTGCTACTAAAAGAGTATAGTCTTTTCATGTAAGCATAAGTAAGTTACCTTGAATTTTTCACTGCCAAAATACTTAACTAGGTATTTCCAATCCTCCAACTCAACATCCTCAGGACGATGCAACAATCTGTCTTCATCGGTACTATAGGCAGAGTAACAGTTATGCAATCGAGCTCTCCAAGCTCTAAAGAGTCTTTGCATAGTGCTTATCACAAAGCCTTGTAACTTATGCTCTCTCAGTCCATCACAAACTTCAAATTTGTCCTAAACACAATGTAATATTAAATTTGATAAATCAGGTAATCTAAAGGCAATACAAAATTAAAAGTGATTTATTACCTTGACCTTATACCACAATGCTTCTCCATGTTTTAAAATAATCTTTTGCCAATTTCCATCTCGGAACGAGATACTGCTCCTCATGATCAAGCCAGAGTAATTAACAATATCTCTAGCCCCAGAACCCCCAGCTCTATCAATGTCATATGGAATAATTACTTTGATTTTTCCTCCATACTTGGTTTTAATATCAACAGTTTTAGATTTATATTTTCCTCTTCCTCTCTTTCTATTGACGCGAGAAACTGTAAAGTATATCAAATAGTTCTTGTATAATACTATTAATGCAAAACCAAAATATACTAGTATTCTGCCACTTAACCAACATACTTTCTTGTATAAAAAAATAATAGTTGAACAGCAACAAACTAAAACCCCAACAGGTATCCTCTAACAACAATCGGGTAGAACACTAGTCAGTCGTTTCCTACTAAAAAGGGAGGTGAACTAACCTGTTCCAGTTTCAACCTCCGGAGAGGGGAGTGTGCTTTCTTCAAGATTCCTGGATGGTTGTGTCTCTAAAGATGTTCTTGGGAGAGGGTGACTTGATATTTGGCCTATCTGTAGAGATCCTTGATTTGGGTTAGATGATTGTTCTGCTTCTAATGATATTTCGGTAACTCTTATTGGTTGTAGTTGTGGCTGAGACGTAGTTCCAAAACTTTCACGTCCTCGAGAATTGCCACGTCCACTTTTTACACTGCCTCTTCCAATTTTACCTCGTCCAGTTCCTTTCATTTCCTGCAACATCAAATAAAAATCACAAGTATCAAAATAAGAAATTAAAGATGATTAAGAATATGTCTACAAGCCAAATAAAATATCAATTCGTAAAATAAAGTAATTCACTGACAGCCAAATAAAATATCAATCCATAAATTTAAGAAATGTGGGACATTTTGCTGGCAACTGCTGCTTAATTGGTGAAAATGTAACTCACTGATTCTACTAAAAACAAAGATCAATTTATAAAGCTAAAGCCACAAACGTTATGAATTAATTTCATCTCAGTCAAAAAAGAACAAAATACAAAGAACTTCCAAAAAACATGTAGACATCTATATGAACCGTCTTTGTTTCTCAATCTTCAGAAGGATGTATCACTGTCCTCTCCATCATTATCAGCAAGTGACTCTTCTTCACTTTCTTCATCCTCGGATACATCTGTATGATGGTCATTAATAAAATCATCTTCCTCATTTTCTTGATCATTAGTACGCAAAACAGTTTTTGGTTCAATATCATCTCTATGTAAAGACACCTCAATATTAGTTTCATGATCATTGGTATTCAAAATATTACATTCAACTTCCTCTTGTTGATAAACTTCGTCATTTATTAATTCTTCTTCTTCAACATCAGGCATATTAAAAAGGTCCCGAGGATTTGTCTTTACAACAACAAGCCAATCTTTATCGATCATGTCATTCAAGTAGAAGACTTGTTCAGACTGAGATGCCAACACAAATGGCTCATTTGTATTCAAAGCACAATGAGTATTTACACTTGTAAAATCATATTGGTCAATCTTATATCCTCTTCCTAGGCAAGCCACATCCCACCAATGACACTTGAATAGATAAACTTTTCGATTTCCCACATAACGCAACTCATAAATGTCCTCCAATACACCATAATATTCCTTATTAGAGTCTGCATCATCTCCTCTCACAAGAACTCCATTGTTCTGCATTTTTCTCACAAGCTCTTTTGTTTGAAACCTAAATCCATTCACCATAAATATTGAATATCGATGCACCAATGGTTTAGGACCGACAGCTAAGCTTATGAGCTCATCAGTTGCACGTCCTTGTGCAACTAGTACAAATATCTACAAAACTCAATAAGACTTGTTTATAATGAAATGTCAACACTAATAGTAAAGCGTTATTGAAGTAAACACTTACATGTGCACGAAACCACTCAATAAATTTGTTATTATGTATCCCTTGAGGTCTCGTTGCACCTTGTATTTCCATTTCTCTCATGTATTCCCTACGTTTTGTGTTAGTAAAGATTAATTAAACTATCTCAATATGAAATTATATTTGAATTAAAAAAAGACTTACTCCATGAATGGTGAAACCTCTTCACAATTTTGAAGAACATACATACATGCTTGGTTGAACTCATCATGAGGTAGTCTGATTCCATCTGAAGCCCCTTTTGTTTGCCCCCTTTTTTTAAAGATAGACATCTCACCATTTGATTCAAATCCATCATCATTTCTTGTTGGTTTATTGAACTTGGTTGAGATATTTTTTAAATATATTGAGCCAAACGTAAGGTTTTCCCTTGCCATATGACCTTGAACAATTGAGCCTTCTGGACAACATGGGTTGCGAACATCTGACTTAAGTATTCGCAAATACCTATATATAGATTTCTTATTAATATAATTATAGAATATTACATTTTAAATACATTGGCATTCAAATTATAAATTATATGTTACCTCTCAATAGGGTACATATCCCAATATTGAACTGGTCCACCAAGTTTTGCCTCTCTTGCCAAGTGTATTGGCAAATGAATCATGACATCAAAAAATGCCGGGGGAAAACCATTTGAAGTTTGCACAATATGATAGGAATTTCAGCCTCTAGGATATCAAGATCTTCAATGGTCAGACACTTAGAGTATAAATTTTTGAAAAATTTGCCTAAGGCTATAATTGGTTCACACACTTCCTTAGGCAACAAACCACGTATAGCTATTGGTAAAATGTCTTGCAATAATACATGATGATCATGACACTTCAATCCATGTATTTTTTTTCTCAAGTACGTTCACACACCTTGAAATATTTGACGAAAAGGCATCTGGAACCTTTAAATTAGCCAAGAAATCACATAACTTCAACTTCTCTTGAGAAGACAATGCATAGCAAGCAGCCGTCAATAAAATAGTATCCCCATCCTCAATTGGATGCAATCCTTGCCTAATTCCAAGGTCCACCAAATCATATCGACTTTTCAATGTGTCCTTTGTCTTTCTAACTATACTCATCACGGTCGATAAAATATTGTCGGAGACATTTCTTTCTATGTGCATCACATCAAGGTTATGTCTTAACTTAAGACTCCTCCAATAAGGCAATTGAAAAAAGATACTTTTCTTCCTCCAATTATAAGCATTGTTAGAAACATTACGCTTTCGCTTTTTCCCTTTACCAAAACTCACATTGCCTAACTCTTGTATCTGCATAAGTGCTTCATCACCTGTTAAAGGGCTAGGTGCAACCCCCATTTCAACTTTCCCATCAAATAACACCCTATTTTTAGGCCATGGATGGTTCATAGGAAGGAAGCGACGATGACCCATATAGCACAACTTATTGCGCAAGGAAATCGATTGTGTGTCTTTATGGCAACAAGGGCATGCAAGCTTGCCTTTGGTTGACCATCCTGAAAGGTTTCCAAACGCGGGAAAGTCATTAATCGTCCACATGAGAGCCACACACATAAGAAAATTAGATTTTGTGTGTGCATCATAAGTCTCCACCCCATCCCATAATTCTTTCAACTCTTCAATCATGGGTTGTAAGTATACATCAATATCATTGCCTGGAGATTTAGGACCTGGAATAAGAAGTGGCATCATGAAATATGAATCTTTCATGCAATCCCATGGTGGCAAATTATATGTAACTAGAATGACAGGCCAAATACTATGATTTGAACTCATATTTCCAAAAGGTTGGAACCCATCACTTGCTAAACCTAATCGAACATTTCTTAACTCAGATGAAAAGGAAGGATAACGCTCATCAAATGATTTCCATTCTATTGAGTCAGATGGATGACGTAAGACACAATCATCAATATTTTCCTCCTTATGCCACCGCATCTTCTTTGATGTCTCTTTTGCCATGTATAATCTTTGAAGACTTTATGAGCTACTTTCTTGCCTTTGTTTTCTAGTGATTTCCATCTAGACATTCCACACTTTAGACATGATTGGACATTGACGTAATCGCGCCAATATAAAATACAATCATTCTGACATGCATCTATTTTTGTATACCCCAATCCTAGGTCACGAAGAATTTTCTTAGCTTCATAAAAAGAACTAGGTAATAATGACCCCTCGGGAAGAACTTCTTTAAAGAAGCTTAATAACTCATCCATCGATTTGTTGCTCCAATGGTTGAGGCACTTCAAGTGAAGTAATTTAATAACAAAAGATAACTTTGAGACTTTTGTACAACTAGGATAAAGTTCTATCTGAGCGTCTTCCAACAATTTGTAGAACTTTGTTGCATGCATATTTGGTTCTTCATTTTCCTCAGACGAATTAATATTATTCCCCAAATATCCACAAGCATCATGAATCATTTCAATAATGTCATCCTCTTCAATGTCATCAGCTTCTACTTCAGCACTACATGCGGCATTAGAGTTTTCAACTCTAGATAATACTTCTCCATGCAAGTCCCACACTTTATAAGAATCCCAAAAGCCCTTTTTCAATAAGTCACCTCTTACATCAATTCTTAGCTTGAACACGGTGTTCATACATCCTCTACAAGGACAGCGAATCATGGTATTCACTCCAGATTGACTGAATGCCCAATTAAGAAAACCTTCAACTCCATCTCTATTTCTTTGGTCAACTCTATCCCTAATATTTAACCAACTTTTATCCATTCCTATTCTCAACAGAAAACAATTCATTAATTTAATTTTTTTACAATGATAAACAATGGACAGAGAAGCCCGGATAAATAGAATTAAACAAAGAGAAGTGAGGATCAGCTAAGTAGAAAGAAACGCACAAAGTGTAGTAAATAAATCACTGTATAAAAAAATGCAAGTACTCCATTCTCCAACAAAGGTGTCAATTCTTTAACAAGTCAAACAAACGATTTTTGTATAATTAGAGTAAGTATTTTGCGGTAGATTAAAAGAAAATGTAACGTTTATTTTACAGATTTTACATTATTGATTTGAACTGTCAATAATCTACTTCTATCATATAATTTTAATCCATTCTAGGAGCAGATTTTAGGCCAACAAACTTTTTTTTTTTGGTAAAAAGAGATGGTTTTATATATATATATATATAAATGAATCAATACAATC